CCCTGCTATACTAGGCACTGTAGACTCGGGTATAATTTGAGCCCTGCTTTACTAGGCACTGCAGACTTGGGTATAATTTGAGCCCTGCTATACTAGGCACTGCAGACTTGGGTATAATTTGAGCCTTGCTATACAAGGCACTGTAGGCTTAGGTATAATTTGAGCCCTGCTATACTAAGCATTGCAGACTTGGGTATAATTTGAGCCTTGCTATACTTGGCAATGCAGACTTGGATATAATTTGAGCTCTGCTAGGCAATGCAGACTTGGGTATAATTTGAGCTCTGCTATACAAAGCACTGTAGACTTAGGTATAATTTGAGCCCTGCTATACAAGGCACTGTAGGCTTAGGTATAATTTGAGCCCTGCTATACAAGGCACTGTAGGCTTAGGTATAATTTGAGCCCTGCTATACTAGGCGCTGCAGACTTGGGTGCAATTTGAGCCCTGCTATACAAGGCACTGTAGACTTGGGTATAATTTGAGCCCTGCTATACTAGGCACTGCAGACTCGGGTGTAATTTGAGCCCTGCTATACTAGGCACTGTAGACTCAGGTATAATTTGAGCCTTGCTATACTAGGCACTGCAGACTTGGGTATAATTTGAGCCTTGCTATACTTGGCACTGCAGACTTGGATATAATTTGAGCTCTGCTAGGCAATGCAGACTTGGGTATAATTTGAGCTCTGCTATACAATGCAGACTTGGGTATAATTTGAGCTCTGCTATACAAGGCACTGTAGACTTAGGTATAATTTGAGCTCTGCTATACAAGGCACTGTAGACTTAGGTATAATTTGAGCACTGCTATACTAGGCACTGTAGGCTTGGGTATAATTTGAGCCCTGCTATACTAGGCACTATAGACTCAGGTGTATTTCCAGCCCTGTTATACTAGGCACTGTATACTCGGGTGTATTTTGAGCCCTGCTATACGAGGCACTGTAGATTTGAATGTATTTTTTAAATTTTCTGATATTCCCATTCTGCCTGCCTGAATTCATTCAAGTGTCCCTCCTAATCATTTTTTCAACACAAAATTTCACCTTTGACATTGAGAGAAATTTCAAGTGGATAGCCTCCTAATTTATTTGTATATAATTAACAAACCCCAGACAAACACTGTAACAGTGCATAATATGTTTCACATAATCAGGATGTGTACATGTACAAAAATCCCACTAATCAGATGACCACTTTCCTTGTCTTGTATACTCAGACAACGTAAAGAACGAAGTGGCAAGAACAAAGGCGGCAAGAGACGTAGACCAGACACTGAAATTATGGAAGAAGAGAATATGATGTCTGCTAATATGAAAAAGAAAGTGAAGTCAAAAGCCATTATATCATCCAGCGAGGGGTCTGATTCAGATGAAGGGGGGTTGAAAATAGCTGTACCAAGGTAAGAACTCACACTGAGTTGACTAAAACCAAACTGTTCA